TAGTTTTTCTATTTTTGTTAGAGATAGGGTCTCACTCTTCCTCAGACTGGGCTTGAACTCCTAAGCTCAAGGAATCCATCAGCCTCTGCCTCCCAGAGTGCTAGGATTATAAGGGTGAGCCACTGCACTCGGCCCAAATACCTATTTTTTTTTAAGTGTTACCATGATAACACTCTGTACCTATGAAGGCTACCATTAATTAATTAATTCAGTTGTATACTTTGCTTTATATATTATCTCATTAGTCTTTTTAACTCTAATTATCATCTCTCCGAGTTTATACATGAGGAAACATTGAATATTTTTGATTACTGTGAATTAATATATTATTATTGTTTTCTTTTATAGATCATTCTCGAGAAGTCTTGCAGCGATTAGTAGGCCCAAACAAACTAAAGCAAGTGACATGGACTGTTTATTGATGGTATTGAAGTTTATCAGAGTTATGAAAGCTTATCAAAACTACTTTCTCAGAAAATGGTCTATAGAGATTTATTTTCCACTTAATTTAACACTACTATTTTATTGTCTTATTTAAGCTATAACTCTCAGAGAACCAGCTAAATTTCAGTATATACACAGTTTGTGCTTGAAGTTAACACAACTCAAACATTTTAATAGTGCTATATTCTATATCTGTTGGATGAGTCATTGTTTTTGAAAAAGTGATCCCAGCATGAACTCTATGTTGGGGAAGCCAAGGGAGGGGGAGGAATTGGAGTTTGTTTCTTAAATAACAAAGTTTAAAATTATCTGTTTTTCCTCAACATTTTCTTCTCCTACATAGGTATTTGAGCTGTTATAAGAGACATTTGCCAATATGGATAAACTTTAGGAGAATTCTAAGTAAAGGTATTTCTTTTTTCTTTTTCTTTTTTTTTTTTGTGATTCTCTTGCCTCAGCCTCCCAAGTAGCTGAGACTACAGGCACCCGCCACAATGCCCAGCTATTTTTTGGTTGCAGTTCTTTAGCTGGACCAGGCCAGGTTCGAACCCACCACTCTTGGTGTATGTGGCTAGTGCCGTAACCACTGTGCTACAGGCACCGAGCCATCATAAGGAACTTTAAAAGTGAAAGAAAGAAAGAGAAGATTAACCCATAGACAGGATAGCATGAAAATTCTACCCAATGTTGCACACTTTGAATAAAGCAGGAATGTAAGGAATGTGGTAGTCTCTAGAAAGTGGAAGTGTCAGGGAAGTAGATTCTCCTGTACAGCCTCAAAAAAATGTATAGTCCTGTTGACATTTGATTTTATCCTATTGAGACCCATTTTGGAATTCTGATCTTTAAAACTGTATGATAGTAAATTTGTTGTTTTTAGCTACTAAATTTGTGGTAATTTGTTACAGCAGCAGTAGGAAACTAATACAACATATCACATTGATTTTTATTTCGTTCATTCATTTATTTATTTATCTATTTTTGAGGCAGAATTATACTCAGTTGCCCTGGGGTTAAGTGCCCTGGCATCATAGTTCCCAGCAACCTCAAACTCTTGGGCTCAAGAGATCATCTTTTTTTTTTTGAGACAGAGTCTCATTATGTCACCCTCAGAAGAGGGCCATGGCGTCACAGCTCACAGCAAGCTCAAACTCGGCTTAAGTGATTCTCTTGCTTCAGCCTCCCAAGTAGCTGGGACTACAGGCACCTGCCTCAACACCTGGCTATTTTTTGGTTGCAGTTGTCGTTTAGCGGGCCTTGGCTGGGTTTGAACCCATCAGCCTCAGAGTATGTAGCTGGCACCGTAACCACTATGATACGAGCACTGAGCCTCAAGAGATCATCTTGTCTAAGCCTCTCGAGTGGCTGGGACTACAGGCACCCACCACTACCTGGCTAGTTTTTCTTTTTCTTTTTTTTTTTTT